ACGAATTTGAATTGGATACAAACTAAGGGAAGACAATGAATTGAATATTCGTTGATGAATTGATTGCTATATCTGAAATACATATTTTTCACACATAAATATTACTGACAAGCTGTTTTTATCCTTTTAAATTCAAGCTTTTCCAACAATTGATTTGAATATTATCAAATTTGTTCCCTTAATTTCAAATTCCTCCTGAAATTTGGAAAGCTCATGGATAATCGTGATATGATGTTTTTAATAAAAAGTTCCAACTGCGATATATTCACATAGTTATATTCAAGTCATCCACATTTTTGTTTCTTGTAAACCAACCATTTACTTGAGGATTTTTTTGCTTTCATAATCTTAACAACTTCATTTAAGGAAATTTAATTTTTGTATGTGAATTTAATGAGAAATTGCTGTCGTAATATAATCGTAAAAATCACAGTTTATTCTCTTTACCTTGAAATATAAGAACTCTGATTATAGTTTATTCTCTTATTACAGTTTATTCACTTTACCTAGAAATATAAGAACTCTGATTACAATAATTCGGTTTATTCTTTTTACCTTGAAATATTAGAACTCTGATTACAATAATCTGCTGATAATCCGTTTTATTACAAATGCTGAAGAAATCACTAACGGTCTTCTTATTCATCTATCTATCCGTTTGTTGCAACTTTTATCGAAACCATTTGGAAACTTCGAAATCATTTCCGCTTTTTTTGTTCTATCTGATTTCTAACATTGCTATTTAAATTAGCATTTTTTTCCTCTCTACTTATTACTGAAAATGTCGAATATCAGACAGATGACAGCTTTTAGCCATTATTACTACTATAACATCGATCTATGAAAGAAGATCTATGGAATGAATTTTGCAAAATGTATATGAAGTTTTTTAAAAGAGCTCCAAAATAAAATGAAATTTCACTTTTAAATTTCTTCATGCACTAATGGTTTGTTTGAGAAACTGAATGAACAACACAAAGAATCAGAAGGTATTAGCAAAAAAGTCAGAAGGTAAAGTCATAAAGTCAGAAAATCAAAAAAGTAGAAGGCAAAAAGTCAGAAGCAACGGAATTTAACAAATAAAGTTATCATTGGGAAAAAAAGTTATCAATTCTCAGAAGTGTTAAGTGAAAATAGCAAAGATAGAATATAATGCTAAAATTTCGACAACTTTGCAAAATATCAATGAAATTATTATCGATCTTTTCATTCGTTTAATTTTTGCTAAATAAAAAAACAATATTCTAATTGCTATTTATTCTAATTGCAATATTCTAATTGCTATTTATCAATCATTTCAAAAACCTAAAAATTATTCCATAAAATTAAAATGAATGGATTTCGTAAAAAGAAAAAACTGAAAAATTATTAAATGTATTGATTAATTCATTCATTAATAAAATTCCATTTGAATTCTTTTCACTCAAATTTACTTATTTCGAAATAATTTAATCAATTATTTATATCATACAGTGATAATTATCAAATTAATTTTTAACCAAACATATAAATAATGATCGAACATGAAAAAAATTTTGATAGAATTTATTTTATGAGATTTATTTAATGTGCTGGCATAAAATCATATCACAATATATTCAAATTGAAAGGGGAAGAAGATATTTGGAGGTCAATTTATTAAGATTAACCGGGTAATCAATTTTTGTTCTTATACCAAATATCGGATAGCAATTAAAAAAAACGGAAAAAAAAGATGAGTTCTGGGAAAATAGATGATCTCCGAATGAATATAAAAAAATGTTTTCAGTATTTATCATTTTGCAATCCGTAATAGGTCGCTTATCATCCATCTTTTCATTGAGCTAAAAAGGATTTCCGGAATTGAATGAGTTAGTTACTTTTATCAATAGTATCGGAATAAGCATAATTTTATTCTTTCTTCAGTATTCCGGTTTTTTTACAATATGAGTATATTTGAGAAGTTTTAAAAAACTTCCTTTTTTTTGTTCATCAAATGAGTAATAATATATTTTATTGATTTTTCTTTTCAATGATAATTATCTTTCTCATTCAAAATTTTAGTAGAATCTAATTTTCAAGGTATGGAGGAACCTTTGCCTGGAACTTCTGCTGAAACATCTACAAAAGATGAACCTGATCCTGAATTGATTTTCATAAATTTTAGTCGAAATGTAGAGTAAGTGAATAGTGAGTAAAAATGATTGATATATAAATGATTTTTCAACAAGTTGACATTCTCTTATTTATTTTCATTTCATGTAATATCATGAATCTGAAATGAAAATCATTTAATATTGACAATCATATCAAAAGAGACTAAAAAATTGTTTACATACATTAATTAATATTAATTACTAAGTGAATATGTCTGTTAATCACATAAATATTATTCATGTATCACTGTAAACAAATTTCTTCATAATTCATCATCAAACTATTCAAATATTTTTGATATTTTAGTAGATTAATTGCTGGCGGAGATTATGGTTTCGCAGTTTATAAAACAAGACCAGAGGATATAACACCACGTTTAATATTTGAAATGAGTAGACAACCGACGCAGAAGGATTATATGACGTGTACGTGTGTTTCCTTGCGATAACGCAAGCTTAATTCTTGTGAAATAAATATAAAGATCAAATAATAAACGAAGATTATCATGTAACACTAATTTTCATCATTTTTTTTAGATTATTTATTCATATATTAATTTATCCAAATAGATATATATTACAGTTTGTTTTGAAAAATTTTAACATTTACAGTTGTGAATGATATCTTATTGGTTGAAAGTTTCCCACCGATACATAAATTTGCAGTGGTATTTGGGAAAATTCCAGAAACATTATATTTCTATGATGCTGTATTAAAAGATTGTACCGGTTTAACTCATTTTACCCAAAAAATCCTCAGTGTGAAAGCATGCACAGAGGTATTTATTTTGTCTTCTGATTCAGTTCAATATTTAATAATAAGTTATAATTTTCTTAATGATTTATTGAATTCATATCATCTGCTAATAATATCTAATAGTATAAACTTTGATGCAATAATAATATAATGCTTTTAAAAGTTGTATAATACTAATCGGAATTTTCAATTGATTCTTTAACTATTCGTCGTAATAAATAAAATTAAGCCATTTAAGTCATCGGATAGAATTAAGTTTAAAAACTCATTAAGTTAATTCTAAAGAAGAATAGGAATTGAACTTTGACCAATAGTTTTTAAGAGAATGTATGAATTACAGATAATAGCGGTCGGTCTTGAAAGGGAAATACATTGTTTTCGGATACATACAGTAAGTTAATTATATTTTTTTCTACGATAATTTTTGTTTTTTTTTCAGCATTTCAAATTTTATTGAGTAGATATTTTCAATAAATTGCTCGTTGTTGATCAATAGCCGAGAAAAGCATGCATTTTCAAACCGGAAAACATGCATTTTCAAACCGGAAAGCAGTGACTATAAGATTGCAACATAACAAAATACTAAATTGAGAATTAAAAAAAGCAATTAACATTTCGCTTTATTATTTGCCATTTTAGAATAATTATGATGATCTTGCATCTTATGTTAGACTTATAATTCATCCGGCTCCACCCAACTTTTCATTACTAATGGATTTAACTGGTGAAGAAAAACCTCGTTTAGTTTATCCCGAATCTGAAACTGAAGGTTTGGGTAAGTTATAAAACTTCTAAATGCATTACTAAAAGCATTACTGTTTTACTACAGTGAGAATTGATGATCAAAAATAATTACTAATTTCAATTTTTTGCATTTCTAAATGGGCATAATTATGTTGGACTTTGAAATCGAAAAAATTTGAATATTGCCATTGGTAGCTATATGATTATTATTTCCTTATGTTTTTGAACTTATGATATTTGAGCTTATTGATATTTGAACTTATGATATTTGAATAATATGCTTCAGAAAGAGAGAGAAATAGCCTAAGCTTATTGATGTAAAATATTTAAAACTTATAGTAATATTCTATACTTCTATTTATGTTTTATTTAGTTGCTGTACAAAGTATTTGTTATTTATCACATTCAAAAAACGTGATAAATGCGCATAATCATCCGATCGGAGCTTTACGTCTTAATAACCAGGCCACGTTACTTGCAACAACATCAAACGTTTCAACTGTGATACGTGTCTATGATGCACGTACAACTGAATGTCTTGTTGTATTCCGTAGAGGTGTGGCGCGGTAACTTTTATAACTCCCAATAATATTAATTAAAAATAGTAATAATAAATAATGAATGAAATGCTTGAAAATTGTATGATTTAAAATTTTTTTGAAATATCGATATATTAATTACATTAATCATATGCTTTCCTCGTTAATCACAAGCGTCAATTAATTTTTAGATTACTCATTTAATTTAATTAATCATAAAAAGCAAATGTGAAAATTTTGCTGGTAGTTTTCTTTTCGCATAATATATACAGTATAAGACTGTAACAACAATATATTGAATAGCAGAATTGTACATGATGAAAATGGCATTAATCATTTGGTGATACGATATGATAACATAAATTGATTTTCTAATTCTATTCAGCTAACAGATAACTAATAAATTTGAAATTTGATTTTTAAAATGGGAAATGAGAATCTTGTGAGATAAAAACCATAATATCATTTATGCGCATGTAACTTATGATAAGCGTATTTTTGTTATTATCTTTTCAGATCTGTAATCGTACATTCAATGGCATTTAGCGCTGATTCTAGATTCCTTTGTTTTACCAGCAATACGGAAACCGTTCATATATTCAAAATTGAAGGACCTATACCTAAAGAACTNTATTTTTGTTATTATCTTTTCAGATCTGTAATCGTACATTCAATGGCATTTAGCGCTGATTCTAGATTCCTTTGTTTTACCAGCAATACGGAAACCGTTCATATATTCAAAATTGAAGGACCTATACCTAAAGAACTACGACTGGAAGAGGAAATAGCACTGCAATTTGAGTTCGTTTTAGTTTTGCAAAAAGAGAAATCGGTAATGAAATAAATAAAATTAATATTCAAAAATTGAGCTATCTACAAACTTTTAATTTTATCATTTAATACACCGAAAAATAGTAAATTCCGAATGCATTGAATAATAAAATTCCGATTATTTCCATTTGCAGTAATTTAATTATGAATTTACATTAAATCTAACGTTTATCAGACGCGTGATTTTAGGGCACGGGATCGAGATGCTCTTAATCCACCCGGATGGTATGATTATTTTGAGCAAACTAAACGTGCTGTAACGGATTATTTAGCACCAACACGAGATTTTGCTTCAGCAATTTTGCCGGAAACAGCAAATTTGAATGTTGCCAGTTTAAAAGAGTATGCCAATAATTTCCAATTAAATATAAATATATCTGTTTGAATTAGAAGAGAAATGTCAAATGTTATTTTTAAATCATTCAACTAATTATCATCGGAATTTGTTTCGTTTTATTTTCAGTGTTAACAATAAATTGCATGTAATAGTAGCCATCTCTACCAGGAAATATTTCGTATTTGTAATCAAAAATGAAGGCGGCGTTGCTACATTAATAAGAAATGAAAGACTTCATTCTAAGGTATTAATATAAATGCTAAATATTAATTTCGATTAATTTAATTTATATAAATATTTCTATTCAAATTAAAAACTATCATAAATATTTTCAAACCAAACTTACATCACTATTCAATTGAATAAATCGATTGAAAAAATAAATCATAATAAATCAATTTGTCACAATAAATCAAATAAATTAATCAATAAATCAACTTATAAATCAATCAAATAACAAATTAATCAAATAAATAAATCAATAAATAAATCAATAAATTAATCACAATTGAATAAATGTTAAAGAATCAAAAATGCTTTTATATATTTTCCTAAATCAAATTTTTTTTACAAAATATAATTATAATATTAAAATGCATCCTAAACTATTTTATAGCTTTTTCTACTAAGTAATATATCTTCAGATGACATTACCAACTCCTTGAAAAGAATCCGATGACAATAATAAAATCGAAGTAATGAAATTTTGATCGATTAGTCCAATTTGATAATTTTCCTTATTAAATCCTGGCTGATGAAAATCTTGCAGTTTCTTTTCCGTTGTTTGAAAGATTTAAATTATTGATTGCTCTAAGTGGCATTTTATATAATGAGTGAAATAAGTGAATTAGCTGTAAAAATTTGAATAATAGACAACCTGATGTATTTGCGACATCGTAGTCATCATTGAAAAAAAAGTATTTCATTAGTTATCTGCGATCTGTTTTATTGTATCACTTCATTCCTCGTTACCTACCTACATATATATTCTGAGCAAGATACATCGCGAGGTTTTTTGTTTCTTTGATTTATTCATATATTGCTCAATCTATCATAACTCGTATTATTCAAATGTTATCTCCATGAAAATGCTCATGTGCTTCAAATTACTGAATAATGATTTAATAAAAAGAATCAATGGATAAGAGGAATTAATCAATTTGCAGGCCTTTAACAGTATGGTTAATATCACTTTGTCATAAGGTTAATGAAAATCAACTAATAGATATAATTGATAAGTTGTGATAGTGATGAGTTTATTGTTTAGGAAGCCTAATGAATGACAATCAGAAATATTGATCAATTCCACTTATATCTTAGCAGCATTTTCTTGGAACAATTCTCTTTACTGTTTTATTTGTTTCTAGACTTTTTTGACTGTTACTTAATTAAAATTACTTCGCTTAGAGTCGTGACTACTCAGCAGATTTGCCAGAAAGGTGAATCATTTCATATTGGTTCCAGTATCAGCTAGAGAGACGAAAATTACTTCATTTTCACTGTCGATTATAATTACAACCGTTTAGAATTATCAATCTTTCCCACAATATTTACTTTCTCTTATCTTGAGATTGAAGATGAAAAAGGTCACTTCATAATCTTATCCCGAAATTCAAAAATTGACTGGTTTCACAATTTTATCGCTAGATTCATTCATAATCATTACTCACCATCTCACCGAATACAACCTGCAATTTCGATGTCATCATCTTTGGTTTACTTTGAAACGCGCAAAACATACGTTTGAAAGATTCAAATTAACTCGAGAGGGAAATTTCTCTCTGTCGAAACTATTGAAACTAATGAGAATGTAGTGTAGCGAAGTAGTTTTATTGAGCGTATCATCAACTCTTTCCGGAAAATGTATGGAATACAACCAATTGGCTGCATAAGTGAATCTCTCCTGCATTTATCAATCTTGATTTCAGTAAAGCTCCTGGCTCCTTAGTCTCTATAAAATCTTCAATAATATATAGTCGGAATCGTCCAGAATTCAAGATAAAGAGAAACTATGAAGCAAGTTAAATTTATATGTGGCTATCGACTCATGAATAATAAATTATTCCCTCAAAATAATTCTTGTAATTAATTAATCTGTCACTCACATAACACATTCGCTTAGTATATCCACTCTTAACCCGGTGACTGACGAAGCCATTGAATTCCGCACACAGTTGATATGAACAAAGAGCGTCACTTTCTACAGTTTGGAAAGGTTTCAATTTAAACCAACACAATCGAAAAGTAAAAGCAATTTTAAACTCTGCACTGTTCAGATGAGCTTAAACAAACAAGAGCAGTAGAACTGAGAAGCAATCACTAGATGCTATACAGAACAAGGACCCTAAAGTATTTATTTACATCATCCGATATCTTCCTATACCTCATAAAATATGATTAACTGAGATGATTAGTGAGTTCAAAAATTTCGATGCATAAACGCGCGACATATGAATTTCAGTACTTCAAAGAAATTCGATTTATACTCAGTAGTTATCACTTGAATCTGCTCTAAAGTATTCCTTAAAGTATAAACTATATTATAACATAAATAAAGTATTACACGCATCTTTACTCCATATTTTAAGCACTTCATCTCGGCTAAACGAAAAACGCATAAGCAAATAAACAAATATGCGTTAAAGATGATATCAAAAACAATATTTTAGTTTTATGTATCATAATATCTTCATTTTCATGCCACTGCCCGCTTTTGAGAATGCATTCTGCCAAAAAAATGTTACAAGTGACAGAAATGCAAAAAGAGTCACGGGCGTCCCTGAAATCCAAAATTTTATTGAAGTTCGTTCAAATTTAAAAAGATCAATCAGAAATGTGCTGTATCAACAATTTTTTTCAATGATCAAATCAAAATTTCATGATATGCTTCTATACTAGTGCATAACTTCTAGATGCCGAAAATCTATTGAGAACGATCTATCAGCGCCACAATTTATTATCATTTTATTATGCAAATGGCAATCTTCAATATGTCCTACCTTCAGCATTACCATTCATCGGTGCAGAAAAATTAGGGATATAGAGCAAAAAGTTGAATGGCCAAAAATATGTGGAATTAATATATCCAACTATAACATTACGAGAATAAAACATCAGCAAAACAGCTATCAACTGCACGAGTATTCCACTAACAATCAATAACAGTGTGGATGATATGCCGGAACTTTTCTCACATTCCATAGCTGTAAATAATTGGAGTAAAACTGGGAATATAAAGCAAAAAGTTGAATAGCAAAAATAAATAAATTATTACAGTACCAATCTTGTGTGCTTCAGTGCATATTTAATTCTCAAAAGTTATCAATGTAGTGTCAAACCGTTCGCAACTAGTCATCATCGGTCGGTAATGAAGCCATTTAAGAGTTTTTCTGATTCTATTTTCAGTTGAAGCCAAGCGTTTAAGTCATGCACGAATAATTACAAAACAATTTCCAACTAAGAAAAAAACTTGTTCATGAATAATTATACAACAATTAAGAAAAAAAACATGCAGGAAAAAGCTTACTTAAAGCATTCAGTTCAGCTACTCTCTGTTTTAAGCTTCGTTCTTTCTTAAAATAGGCAGCAAACTGAGCCGTTGGTGAGAGCGCATCCAAATCGGATTTCATTTGCCTCACCTCCAAAGCCAAAGTTTCAGCTCGCGAATTTATTGCATTACGACGACTTCCGAGCGGTAACAAAGGTTTCAACTACAAAAGCAATTTAAAATTTTCTTTGAACTTTTATAAAACTTTTACTTGATTCTTACTCATTTCAATAATAACTCATAAGCTGATGGAAATGCTTTAGAAGCAACATTAAATTAAAAGCTAACCTTTGCCGCAAGCCATCGTGTTAATTTCATCCAATATGCGAATGCAAATATTGCAGCAAAACATGCCAAAATGCCAAATATATCACCATTCCACTGACTTACCATATCAGCAAATGTTAAGCAAGCCATATAATCTACAAACAAAACACTTCCGACCATTTGCATAATGTAATAACCCATTAATTTCTCGTAAAGTGATCAAAAGAGAGAAAAAACTGTATGAAATCACAAAAGTATTCCTATTTATTTGGTTTTCATAATTCCCCTGCATTGCTCAACTCTGATCATTAAATCACAAATCACTTAAGACATTCATTACCCCCTGTGATAAATTCTGCTCTCCCTTTCTCGTATCCATAACAACCATTAAATTATCGAAATGGTCACCCACCATATATTGAACAAATGGTGGTCCGATGTAACAGTACTATTGCCCAGCAGTGATATGCTTTCCAAAAGTCTCCAACTTCAGCGAGTCAGCTCCTACCACCACCAGACTCCATTCCATCAAAATGAAAAGTTGACGTTAATGCGGCCACGATATGTAAATAAGTAATCCCATAAATACGAATTTCAACTTAAATTTATTACACTAAACAAGAGAACAAAAAATAAGTGAATATTTATTTTTGTAGAAATAGAAAGATATTAATTAGTTTGTTAATTTTAATTCAATTTGAATTAAAATATTCCGTCCAATCAATCGGCTTCATAAAATTTGCTATTTGTAATGCGCAAGTTTACTCTAAAATTAGCATATTCCAATATTTAGTTTCTCACTTTCTCTAATAAAGTTCTTTTAATTTTCCAGATCCAATAATTTTTCAGATTTTCTTCTAATGGTAGAATCTGCTGTTATTTCTGCTGATATACCTATGATAATATCATATATGATTTCTTTTTTTATTTAATCATTTCTTTCCAATAGAAATAATAGAAGTTAGCGCCAAATGGATTCTGAAGGTAAATTTATATCTTATATATGTAACCATCTACATATGCAATGCTGCCACTCAGAACTCTCTTCTCTTAGTTTTATCTGAAAATTAATCGTTTCATTTTCGCTTATCATTTATTTATCTATTATTTATTTATTTATTTATCATTTATTTATTTATTTGTTTATTTATTTGTTTATTTATTTATTTGTTTATTTATTTATTTGTTTATTTATTTATTTGTTTATTTATTTATTTATTTATCATTTATTTATTTATGTATTTATTTGTTTATTTATTCATTTATTTATTATTTATTTATTTATTCATTTAATGTTCATTTATCGTTTCATTTTGCTTTCCTTCGCCTTTTCTTGAAGCTGAGAGGAAAATAAAATTAGTAGAAGTATTATTAAGTTCATTGATTTGCTTCTGACCTTTTCAAATCTTCAAATATTGTAAACTTTCTTCTTTTTAAAATCATGCCTATACTATATTTATGCGATTTCTACTTGGCGTAGATCGCATAAATAGTTATTGTAAGTTATCGCAAAATCTGTACATCTTCTGAAAGCAAAATATTTTCGTTCATTTTTAGACAATTTAATAATTTGATTAGTTTCACTTTGAAGTAAGTAATGACAAGTAATAATAAAAACTCGGATTCGAAATCATAAAAATATTCATTCTTATGTATTTGGCATAAACATAACCTTTTATTCTTTTCCTAAATGACAATTAAATCACAAAGCTAATTATCGACCTACGGATGAAATTTTGTTTGTTTTTAAAAAAAGAAAGTATACAATTCGGAAAATTATTAAGCTAATTTTTTCAACACATAAATTTGGCTCATTTGTATGATATAATATTGTTGATATTTGATTTGATTTATCAACATAATATTTATGCAAAATTGATCAGAGTACAATATGTATATATACATATACGCACACATATGCAGATGCGTGCATGCATGCGTGCATGGCTTTTATATAATTGTAATTTCAAAGCAGAATTAAATAAACGAATGGAGGAATGTTTCAGTTGAAATATCACAATTGCGCATATTCAAATAATAACAGTGAAATATGGTCATAAACTTTCTTTCCTAACAATTCGTTAAATTATTTTTGCTTCAACAAAATCATACAAAATCAATTTATAATATAAAATTTGTTCAGATGGAAAAATTTCTTTGAGGAAAAGGGAAAAGCGAAGAGATAAGACAAATGAAAATACAAAATGATATGTGTGAATTGAATTATCGGAATTTTTTCTGAATCCTAATATAATTAATTCTATTTTAAATTAGACTATTTTATTAATCATTTCATTTTAGCTAATAGAAAATTTCTTTACTGTAATAGTGAAGCATAAATTAAGAATGTGTATTTAATTAAGAAAGAGAAGTGTCAAGTTCATTTATTCGTCAATTAGATGGGTAGCACATTTTTCATGTTTATCAAATCAAGGATTAGGAATTTAGGATACTCCCGATTTTAGCTTAGAATAGCTCAAAATGATGATATTACATCATAAGGCTTTTATTTATAGATTCATTATTGATAACTGATGTTATTTGCACACAACAATTTGTGAAATGGTGACAAATGACTTAAACTATTGTATCATATTCACATTTTTTCTTATTCGCCTCTGTTTAATAAATAACAATCATTGTTTGCCATCGCTTAATATCAAGTGTATCATCATTTTGCTAAAATAACATCAAATGTATATCACTTTGCTTTGTTAACATCAAATGTATATCACTTTGCTTTGTTAACATCAAACGTATATCACTTTACTGAAATATTGTTCTGAAATTTTACGAATACTTGTAAAATTTATGAATTTTGATAAAGTAATTAAAATATAACCAATAATATTTAATAAATTTTGATGAAAATCAAAATCTCTTTGTGCTACTTTCATTCGGAATAATCATACCTGATTCTATTATTTGCATTGTTGTGCTCGTCTTTCCTCTCGAATTGCTTCACGATATCCTTCCCGTAGTTGCTCCACAACGAATAGAACAATTTTTGTCCATCCAATTTGTGTTATTTTATTACGATCCTTTTTTTCACCCCATTCAAGAGTTCGTTCAATCATCGCTGATGCAAAATGATCAAAATGAGCTAGACGAAATGGATAGCCAATTGATTGACCACTATTGCCACTACAACCACCACCACTGCTACTACTTTTCTTGACAGCTAAAAATTTCAGAGAGAAAATGAAGAAAATTTTAATTGTAAAGTTAAAAAAGTTTAATTCTCTACCTTTGAACTTTCTGTTCCGGTTAATTCGTTAAAATCTTTTGAAGTAAGCAATTACACTTTAAATATATGATTCACCTGATCAAATTTCCTAAATATTAATTATTAAGCCTATCAATTGTTTTTCCTAATAAATAAAGAAAAAGAAATAACAATATTATAAACAAACATTTATTGTATGTATCACGAAGTAATGAAGCATGTGCCCGTCCAGCTTTCCGTAATTCTTCAATTACAGTTTCCTTTTGATCCAATTTATCAGTTATTAAACGATCCATAATATCCGTAAAACTTTTAGCATGTTTCTATAGAAAAGAAAAACAAAATTTTTGCTAAAAAATTTAGAATGAATATTACTAATAAATAATTCTTCAAAGAAAGAAAGAAATGCAAATGTTTGCTTAAATAATTGTACATTCCAATTCATTATATTAATTAGTAACTATTAAAATAATTTACAAATTTTTACTATCAATTTATTTTAATTATCAATTTTTTACATTTTAATGCTTTGATAAATTATACCCGCAGTTGTTCGTAGCCTACATTTTTCGATCCATCCATAATTAATGATCGAATTTCACTACATTTATAAAAACTATTTCGAAAAATGCTAATTGCCGGTTCCATTGCACCTTGATTTCTTGCATGAGCCCAAGTTTTACGTACCAGTAGCAATTGTATAGCGCTTAAATTTAAGCTGTTGCTCCTATTCTGCGTCAAATCACGACATAATGATGTTTCTGTAAAAAAAATTAAATTAAAAAATTTTTAATTGCTTGCAATAAACATATATAAATAAAATTAGATGAATCTATGATGTGGAAAATTTGTGGAAAATTGAAAATTGAAAATTAAAAATTATCTCAAACTTCCGCCACAATGATTTAATTTTCTTAAAAATCAATGCAACTATTAAAAAAACTACAAATTCCTCAACCATTAAATCATTAAAAATAGTTTTGATAAGAATTTTTGATAAGGAAAAATATTTAAAATTAAAAAATTAAAATGATTGTAAGAAATTTTGATGTGCAGAAAAGAAAAAAAGAAAATTAATTTGAAATTTCGTATGAAATAAATTTTGAGAATTAGAATGATAATATTTTAATTCTAAAAATTTTTTAAAATAAAAATTAATTTTACTTGGAATATTTAACTAATAATATATAACTAATAATTTAGCTAATAAAATAAGCATAATTTAATAGCCTTTATCGAGTTTCACCGGTAGTTACCTAAATTTTTTTATCTCTTCCTTATCGGATACTTACTTTTATAAAAGTAAAATGAAATAAAGTAAAGTAAAGAATTCATTCTAACAATTTCAAAATCCTTCCTATCATTGACATCATAATCTCTTGACATCATACTATATCATTAAATAAATTTAAAGAGAATTTTTCATTCTTAAGAAAAAAAGAGGTAAAAAGTATTAAATCAAAGTTGATTGATTATATATCATAATCTTCTAGATTTCACTTTTTTTAATACCATAAATATTTCAATCTTTCTCTTCTCTTACCTTCTGAAATTTCTTAAATATATTTAAATCTCTTTCTCTTTCTCTCTCTCTCTCTCTCTCTCTCTTCGAATAAATTCAAATAAATATTGAAATGATGCGAATAGAAAAAGAGCGAGGCGATAATGAGAACTGCTTTGTAAAATGAAATATGCTAATGATCAAATAGCAAAAAAGTTTTTTTTGTTTGAATAATTTAAATTAGGCGAAAAATTTTATGTTTGAAATAATTTCAAAATTAATTAATCAAATTTTAATTAAATTAATGAAATAAGTTAAAAAGCATAAAACAGAATATTATAGCTCGCTTTTATTTCAAATATTGGTAAAGTATCTTAGAATTTTGAGAGAAATCTCACATTAACTCCATTTATTGCATCAAATATCAGAAAGTTTTCCTTTTTTTTTTTTGTTTAAAATTAATGAATAAATTAGAAGCACAAAAGGATCCGATAAGTAAATTTCGACGATACCAAACATTGTGCAGAATTATAGTAATTACTGCTATTAATTAAGTGTTATGAATCAAAAATTTAAAAGCAATAGTTTGAAATTATTCAAACAAATTGTGAAGTATAAAATAGTCATCCAATCACTCAATCCATTCTAATAATAATTTATGTTAAGTGGAAAAATTTTTTAGATATATCCGTGCGAAAAATTATAATAAACAAAATTAAATTAAATTAAAAACATTTTTCTCTTTATTATCATTATAGGCTTATTAAGCTAAATTAAGATAAACTGATGTGGAATTAAAATTGAATAAAGTATTAGTTCATATTTTAAGTTTAAGATTAATTTCAATTTAGTGTAAATCTGTTGAAGTAAGTTATAAATTGATTTGGAATTGCAATTGAATAAAGTGTCTATCAAATCGTTTTTCAACTTTAAGATAAATTTCAATTTAGTGAAAATTTAGTTTTAAACAATAATTCCAATATATGAAAATATTAATGATAGGTAAAATACATTTATTTTAGAGATGGAAAATGATCGACAAAATTTTCCTTTTCTACTTGCAACGGAACAATATATATTATAACAAAATTGTTACAATTCAAAATGATGCATTTCTAGAATTCTTTTAAATTAATTTTTAAAACAATAAAATGATAAATAAAAGCTAAATATCGTAATTATGATTAAAACAATAAAATGATAAATAAAAACAAATTGTGATCAGGTATGTAACGAACCACGAGAATAATTTAATTTTTTACATTGTCGATGACCATATCGTTCCATCATACTATTATTGTTAAATAATAATTCCAATATTGATTGTATATTATCTGAAAAAAAGTTAAAGACTAAGAAAACTTTTTTAAAATTCTATTCGTTAACTTAAAATAAGCTATTTAGGAAAATTTTTATTGATATCTTTTCGAGATCGGAAAGAAGTGAAAGTAAGATACGAATCATTTTTTGTTGATGTAATTGTTTGAATTTAAATTAAATATGAATTAAGTGTTTATCTCTTGTCAAAGAAAATAACTATCAGAGAAATGATAATCAAAAAATCGTTGCTAAATTAATTGCAATAAAAAGGTTTTTCGAGAAATTAAAAAATTATGCGAAATTTCAACAATTAATTAAAATAATGAATAGTAATGTTTGATATTCAATAATGTTGTGGAAAATTTTGCATTCTGCTATTTTATTACCACAATTGAATTTATATGATAGATAATTAAAAAGTTCCAAAAGGAATAAATCTTAATAGAATATAATTATACCTTCTACCAACTTCTTCATCTTGAATTTACCTTTTCATTAGTTGTGTAATGTTTATAAAAGAAGAAAAGTAAACTATTGAATAGATGCTTCAACAACGACAAATAAACGACTATCGTTATTGAGCAATTTGAAAATTTCTTCAGTAAAAGTACGAAATAAGCATATTTGATGAATTGCTGTTAGAATGATTTGAAGTAAATTTGATAGTTTAAATTGATTTTAAATTCATTCCTAACCTTACCAATATTATTACTCTTAGGAATTGACAGGAAAAAGACAATTTTATCACTCACATGCATATTTTTATTTCAAAATTTAAGGTAATAAAGAAAACCATTCATACTTATAAGTTTGTTTGCTTCAAAAAAAGAAATATTAAACTTAAAAAATGGAATCAATAAAATGCATTATATATTGTTTATATATAATATAATTAAAATCGAAATCGTATACTTATATATAATATGTGTATAAGTATATGATTTCGATTTTAATTACGAAATCAATAAAATGCATTATATATTATTTATATATAATATAATTAAAATCGAAATCGTATACTTATATATAATATGTGTATAAGTATATGATTTCGATTTTAATTACGAAATCAATAAAATGCATTATATATTATTTATATATAATATAATTAAAATCGAAATCGTATACTTATATATAATATGTGTATAAGTATATGATTTCGATTTTAATTACGAAATCAATAAAATGCATTATATATTATTTATATATAATATAATTAAAATCGAAATCGTATACTTATATATAATATGTGTATAAGTATATGATTTCGATTTTAATTACGAAATCAATAAAATGCATTATATATTATTTATATATAATATAATTAAAATCGAAATCGTATACTTATATATAATATGTGTATAAGTATATGATTTCGATTTTAATTACGAAATCAATAAAATGCATTATATATTATTTATATATAATATAATTAAAATCGAAATCGTATACTTATATATGTTATATGTATATAAGTATACGATCTCGATTTTAATTACGATTTTTCTAAATTTATAAAAATATTGAAATAATTATTAAAAATAAGAAGCAAATAATAGAATGAACAATTTTACTGAAAGTGAAAGTATAAATATTTCCAATCGCTGCTTCGATATCCCTTAAAGTATTCTATTTATAAGTATACAATATCGATTTTAATTGCGACTTTTCTAAATTTGTGAAAATATTGAAATAATTATTAAAAGAAAAGGAGCAAATGATACGATAGACAATTTCACCGAAAGTGAAAATATAAATATTTCGGATCGCTTCTCCGATATCCCACAAAGTATTCATTTCTTAAAGAAAAGAAAAAACAAAGGATAAACGGATACTTTGATATGAAATTGTTTAGTGTATGAATTGAAATGAAACAAAACCACGAAGAAAGTAAACAAATAACAAACAAAAGATAAAAAGCATATTTGTATAATTTCTATAATTATTAATTATACTTTAATTAAAATTAAATCGAAAATGAAAAGAAAAAGATATTGATGAGAGAGAAAGTTAGATAAATAACCATTTTTTGGATTAAAGAAAAAGAGAAGAAGAAATTCATTTTCTATTTTAGAATTAAATTTATTTGCTAAGAAAGCTTCTCATTTCCTTCTAATAAATACATTTATTTATTCGGAAAAGAAAATGCAAAACTTTCTTTCATTTCTTCCCTTTTTTGTCGTTGCTTTTTTGAGAACGACGAAAAAATAATTAAAATAAACAAAAGAAATTTTTTAGTTAATTTAAATAAAACAAAAATTACTAAAATTACAATAAACTTTTCACAAAATTTTTCATTTAAAATTTTTTATAATTAGAAAATTAGAGAGAGAGAGAGGGAGAGAGAGGGAAAGAGAAAAAGAGATAGAGGGAGAAAGAGAGAGAAACTATTATGATATCAGTAAATAATGCTTTTTCATTAATTTTAATTTTTATCACTACGATAACAATAATTTTCGTTGTTTTGTTAAAAAATATTTTGAAGAAATTACGACAGTATTAACAGATTGAGGAATAATGAATTTTTTGTTTTTATTATCCCAACATGTATAATTAATTTATTATCAGAGTTGATGATAATCTTTGTGTCGTAAAGGAATTATTTTAATTTCAATATTATCATCATTCTTTCTATACCTTTTTTATCAGCAAAAATAATTGTTCATGGCAGCAAAAGATCCTATTACAGCTTATCATCGCTCTTATCACTCATCACTTTAACTAATTGATAAGTATATGAGAAAGAGAAAAACAAAATAATACTTCATTTCATGAGAGTTAAATTGATGAATTTGACAGCGAAAACACTATTGCTATAAGAAAAGAAAGACGAAAAAGGAAATCTCAAAAAACACTAATTTCAATTCTTTAAATCTATTGCCAACTTTAAAGAAATTTTGTTCACATTATTCTTTTTGTCTCTCCTTTAAAAGTGATATGTTTTCACTTTTTTTTCACACTCTCTTTCTACTTCCATTTCTCTTCTCTCTCTTTCTCGCTCTCTCTCTCACTTTTTTTGAATTTCCTAAATTCATATCAAAGAATCGCTGATAAGATCATCGTAACATACAAATGATAGATATATAATTTTCATTCCTCTGATAAGATATAACTAATATCTTTATATATATATATATAATTAATAAGACATAGAGGAAGCTTTTTTTTCAAGTAACAAAAACACTAGCGGATCGGACAAAATTTAGTTTATAAAATTTCAAACCAAAAAAATAATAAGCGATAAGATAAATTATAAAAGGATCATATGTTCTCCTTTAACACTTCTTCATCTTCTGTTGCACTTCAAGAAAAACTAAAATCATATGATTCAAAGGTATTTCCTTTAATCTTTTCGCTTCCTAAAATTATCATGCAATGATAAATTCAGAAGAATATAACGAAAAGAAACAGACGTATACTTCGCCGTGTGAAATTTATGTATACAATTTGTTTATCCATTTTATGCTTATTATTTTAGGATATATACTATTAACCAATATCCATTCACGATATTATTTTATCTTCACGTAAAACAAGTAAATACTTGAATATTTTTTTGCTTTTGAAGGAGAAAATAGAATTTGATAGTTTCATTTGAGAAAATGATGGAACACGGAAATACGGAAATAAATTTGAAATTACTTTTGCACAAAATGAATCAAAAACAAAGTTTAAAGAAATTGAATTCATTTCCATTTTTCAACGTAACTTATGTTGTAAATAGTGTAAATCACTTTTTCACTATCTGTTAAAAATCATTTAAAAAATTTTTTGTTTTTAAATATATGTTTTTTTAAATATTAAAAACCGAAGATCAAAATTTTTGCTTGAATTCAATCTTCAACAGTAAAAATATGCGCTTATGTGATACCATAATCGCCCTAAAGTTTAAGTGTACTATTAGCATCAGTAATTATTAATATAAATTAATTAGCTCTTTATAAAAAAACTGTTCTAATCAAAGATCGAAGTTAGAACAAATAAAATCATTCCTATTCTTAAAAAAAATAATGTTTTAACACTTAAATTTATTACTTGAATTTTGCTAACACTCATATACCCATAACATTAAAACTTTTGGTATCGTAGTTTTTGGTGAAATGATTAATGATTTAAGTGAAATGTTAGAACTTAAATGGAATTGTAATATAATCAAATATTCGATGCTATCAATCAAACTGTTATATCAAATTAAATCATTTCAACTATACGTGATCTATTCACGTACCTCAGCAATCTAATTTAATATTTACTACGTTAATTTAATATATATTCATATCAATCATTCTTACAATCTAAATCTCTTCAATCTCAATATTATTTCATCAACTTTTACTTAAGTTTGAAAATATCAATACTGAAAATGAATGTAACAAAGTGAGTTAATACTTTTTAACGCTTACTTGTTTTTATTCGTTTAAAATTAAAAACTTGTTTTCTTATTGAAATTCGTCCTTTTTATTTTGAACAAACTATTTCGGTGACACTTAAAAGCTGCTTAATAGTTGTTTTTCCCATCAACGAATCGTGGCAATGCTTCTAATTTGTTTAATAGTTAGCAATTTATTTTTTTTCCTTCATTTTTTCGAGTAGTCTATTTGTGATAATTTATGCAAATATAATTTCTGCATAATCTCAAAATATTTGCTTATAAATTATTTAAAATAATAGAAACTGATTTTTAATAATTCTCATTAATAAATTAAAAAAGGAAAAAACGAATTTTTAAATTTTATAAATTTCAAAATGTAATAAAATATTTAAATAATAGAAATTAATTTTTTAATTATAACAATCCCTTTCTTATTAATAAATGAAACACTTTAAAAACTTTAAATTTTATAAATTTATTGCAAAAAAAATGAAAATATTTTCATTTTAGATTTTTGGCTTATTAATCGATCTTAACGGATTTGAAAGTAAGTAAGCTTTAATTAACATTTATTAAAATACATTTATTAATTTACAAGTTGAATTTAATTATATTTAACTATTTACTGAAATTCATTTTTTCATTTGTAAATTGAATTTAATTATATTTAACTATTTACTAAAATTCATTTTTCAATTCATACAATTTAATTAATGCATTCATAAATTAATTTTAATTTACACCTAACTTTTATGTTAGATAGAAAATACGAAAAAAAAATTTAATTAAACAAATAATTATTATTTCATACCTATACTAATTTAATAATGATAACAAATTGTTTGCTTAGAATAAAATTTTCACAAAAACAATTTTCAATTATAACTTCATTTTCAACATATTTAAGCATGTGTGGATAAATTTTGTCCTTTGGGAACATATTGTTTGGAACGTGATATAGCGAAATGTGATAATCCACCATGTCGTCCGATACTTATTTGTATGCCTGATAGTACCAAAGGTTTCAGATCATTTTCTTTCTTTCAATTTATTTCTTGATGATTCATTAATAAATTAAGCAAAATATATTATAATAATTGAAAGTATAGTAAAATAGTAAATTTAAGAACTTTATAAAATGCTATTGAAATTTTAATCAAAATAATATTTAATTCAGAAAAGAAAAAGGCTTATGTTGTGAAATATTGTGAATATTGTGATTATGATTATTATGAATAACGATTATTGTGATTATGATTGCGATTATGAAAAATTGAATATTGTGATTGTGATTGTGACTGTGAAAGAAACGGATCTTTTTTCTTCTATTAATAGATAGAAGAAAAATGATATGATATTTAATTCAGAAAAAATGATATGATAAATGATAATTATAACCATACTATTGAAGAAACGGATCAACGTTTCTTCAATGGTATGGTTATAATTACCATATCATTGAATAATTTCCGGAGGTAATTCAATAGGGAAAATTCACTGCTAATTTATTACATTTTAAAATATGCATAATTAAATAAATTATTCATTTCAAATAAGAAAGAATTTTTTTTGTCCTAAAATATAAACTTTGCAAATATAAGAAATTATGTGAAAATATTTCTGTTAAATTTATATCAAAAATAAATTTTTTTAAATTATAAAAATTTTTGATTAAATTTTATATATTCTATTGGAAAAATTTTTTGCATATGAAAATTAAAAAGAAAAAATTTTAGGCTGTAAAAGTCATCCACCATGTCCACCGGGTCTAATATGTGCCGAAAAATTAGTACCATGCATTAGTCGATCATGCCGTAAAATTGCAAAATGTGTTCCACCAGGAAGTTCATACATTTTATTACTACTACTTTTTTTTTTATTAAATCTGAATACTTTTTCTCCCTAAATAAAATTTCTTTGTTTTAAATTTTTCTTACCTAAAATTAAATAGTTTGAAAAAAGAATTAAATTAAAAATATATTTTTATAAAATAAAATATGAGAAAAGGGAAGCGATATATCGATTTTTTCCTTTACAAATTTAAGTTAATTCCCAGTTATATATAATCATTATTTCACAGTTATGTATAAATATATAATCATTATTTCAGAATAAACAAATTGCTATCAATTTTTTGCAGCATGTGAAGCAATGGAATGTCCACCATCACATAAATGCGTGATGAACCCCGGTCCAACGTGTGTCAGAACAATTTTAACTGCTGAAGATGTTGCGAAAATGAACCAAAACTAAATGATTGATCATATTTACCTGATTAGTTGGTGCTTATTTGTTTACCTGATATTTGTCTAATATTTAATTTGAATTAAACAAGTTTTTCTGTTAACAAAACATATATGAAATTAATTGAAATAGAGTTAGGAAAAAAAGTGTGATATATTGTAAAAATGGTGAAATTTAGAAAGTTGAAAATTCGATAAACGAAATGATACATTTATCATACATATACTTTTTGATCATATTTACCTGATTAGTTGATTAATTATTTATCATTTATCTCTCTCATGTAATCTTTTTATACCGAAATACATTTCTATAACTATTTGTGACATTGATCCGAAAATTTTTCGAAGTTTAAAAAAGTAATCACACAAAAATTGAAAAGAATATTACGATCATCGACGATGAAATTTTTTTTTGATACACACCTGAAATATAAGCTAACCTTTGACATTTTTCAATTTAATCTAATCAAAAATCAATAATTAAAATCAAAAATCAAAAAATCATAATAAAGAATTAAAAAATTCTAAAATGATAAAATGAAGAAAATTTCTCTTTTAACAAATACATGAAAAATGTTTCAGTGATAAAATTAATCTTATCATTTGTTATTTAATAAAAGAAAATCAATGTGCTCTATTGCTGTGAAATAAAGAAGTTAGCATTGGATGGTTGTCAAATAAGTTTCTGTTTTCCTTTTGAAATTTTTTTATCAAATTAAATTACAATTAAATAGTACAGTAATATGCGAAAGATATGGAATATAATCATATAAGCCAATTAATTATCTAATATTAGCAAAAAATTAGGTTAATCAATATTTTTAAAATATTGAAATAAATTGTTGAAGTCATAAAATATTGTCAACAAATTTAGAAGGCAAAAAGTTAAAAATAAGACAGCGCAAATGACTAATATAGTTATTATACACTGTTATAATCAATAATATGTATCTTACAATTTTTACAGCATTAAAAATTATAGTTTATAAATATTTTCGATATTTCAGTTTTCAAATTAATTAATTAAATTTGAATAAAATTTAATAAACATTTCCAATGACAATGAAATATTCATAATTTCAATATAAATTAATGAATTTTAATTTGTTCAACTTTGAATTATTTCACAAATATTATCCAAACTTTATCTTAAATTTGACTAAAACATCAAATTGTAACATTGGATATAACATATACATATATATATATATATCGGCTTATGGGCAAAATTTGTTTATTATTGTTGAATGTATAAAATTGTATACTTCAAATTGTTTACTTATTTTTCATCCTATTAATATAAATAAGCGGTTGTTACCGATATTTCGAATGATGTTTCATCATCACTAATTTATATACCTTTCATCTCGTCTATTAACGTAATATTAGGATAAGATCTAAATTATCTTTGAAATATTTATTAATTTTATAAGACAAAAGGAAGAAAATGGGTAGATCGGAGTTATGGGAAAATTTAATTTTTACTGCTTATTGCATTTATCGTATATTTATTGCAATTGATTTTATTGCGCAAAATGCTAAGTTTGCATCGGAAAATAATATTTATGGATGGATTGAAAATCATAATTGGCGTAAGTTTTTATTAGTAAAAAAAGAGGCTGGCAAGTAATCAAAATGCTAACTTAGCTTGGTAAAATAAAAATAGTTTATTAAATCATTACAAATTTAATGTGATTAAAATTTTTTGAATAGTATTATTTCATTATATAGTAAATGAAGAAGAAATGAAAATGAAAAGGTATGATTCGGAATTCTGAAACTTTGCCGATTTTTTTTAACAACATAATGAAAATCCGATATTTCATGAAAATATATGAGAGGAAAAAAGAGAAACAAAAGTGAAGAATAAATTACTGTGCCATTTCTTATTTGCTACCTTTCTCCGTTTTTCAGGAATATCTTTTAGGGTAAAATTTATGATTAATAACTGTAATTTTTAAGTTGATAAAAAACAAAATAATTCAATCGAGCATTCTTCGTTTTAGCTGAAATTGAAATCGCATTTGCTGTAATGGCAATCGCTGGCTTAATGTCCGGTCGACGATTTATATTCTGTTTCACCGTATTCTTCTTTATATTCCGTACCATTATTAGTATTACGGTTGTAACTATCGATCTCTATACTGTAGGATCTTTTATTTCTTACGTTACTATCAAACAGATTTTTTAAATGTGATATTTGTCCGATTTCACAGCGGATAGATGAATGCCGTAAATTGCTGAATATATAAACGTGTATCGTTTAGAAAGATGACAATTGAAAATGCATTTCCAAATATATTTTCACACTTCTATGTTTAAAATATGTTTAAGGCATAAATGGATGAATCAATTAATTATACAATTAGCAATACGATGGATTAAACTCCTCATGCTATTGTATTATTCATTAGGAATAAATTTAAATTTCATTTTCATATAGTACAAAACGATTCAAATTTACTGACTTCCTGTTTAAGCTTCTATCCGGTAAATCAATCGGTTGTATAACAAATGAACATTTATCATCCGGTTTATCACAGAACTGTAAATGGAGCGATATTTTTATCCTTACCTATGACATTCTTACGTTTATTTTACTCGTAGGTTTTTCTCTATCTTCACGATCTTCAATAGCGTGACGCATGAAACTTTTTGGTAAGTACCAAAAAGAGAAAAGGGAGAAATTAGTGAATACAACTATCTGTTAGTGTTCTGTTAATTTTACATTCCTTATCAATTATCATTTATTTTTTAACTAAGAGTTGAAATTTATTTTCACATATATCGTTCTAACACTTGAAGAAATTTGATAATTTAAATTAAAATTTATGTCTCAAAAAAGCTAGCAACAGGAGATATTACAGATATTGATGTCAACTGTTGTATTCCTTCGATTATTGTGCTTTATACCTGGACGAAATAATTATAGAAAGGATCCGGTTGAACAGAATTATATGGAAGGCCAACATCAACTGATTAAATTGCCATTTTTTATTCGATGTGAAAAACAGAAGGAAGATGGAAAACAATGTAATTATGATATTAATTACAATGATAATCCATATAAATCATCTATAATTTAAAAGTTTTTGATAAAACTTTTCAACTAATTCATTTATTATCATTTGTAATAATTTTACATTTTCAACATTTTATTATTTATCTGCCGATTCCAGCAACATATAATCTCTTCAAAAATAGTAAACAAAATGTTAAGTTGATTAAGGCATGATGAAAATGATAATGTATGAAGTGATGTTTATTTACTTAATTGCTTAACTGCTTAATTGCTTAAGTTATTTACATAAGTGATATTTATTTACTTATTTGTTCACTTATTTATTTACTTATTCAAAAGCAACTTTGTTTTTTTAAGAGGATTAATAGGGTTAATTATTTTCCAATCTATTAGTATACCGTACTTCATTCAACAAGTGAAATTTAGAAAAACCACTTACAAATATTTCTGAATATCTTTGAATTAGTTTCGTAAATAGTAATAGCAATTTTTCACAATATTTTTGTTTTCCAAAGTATTGAAATTTACCTATGCTTTAAAGCTTTTAAATATCTCAATTGAAATTTTCAATTTTATTTATCAATTAATGATCTTTTCATTCTTAAGCGACTTTATATCCTTATGATTCGATGCGTAGGTGTACTTTAATGGAAAAAAATTGAATTAATTAAATTGAAAATTGAAATAAAAAAAATTAAATTAATTACTCCTGAAAGTATTAAGATAGTCTATTTAAATAATTAACTTTTATTTCTCTTATTTTAATTGTAATCAACGGCAACTGCATGATATCATTTGTTGTGATTATCAGTTTTCACTTTTTGCGCTTTCATTTCACAATGAAACAAAACATTGAAAATGCAAGTTTATAGCGGAAAATTACTTTTGAAATGATCTCTCTCTCTCTCTCATTTCTCATTTGGCGATTATTTGTCAATTCTTTTCTTATTTCAAAATTTAATTAATTAATGTTAATAATATAATTAATATATATATATACATATAAATGATAACAATCATCAAAATTTTCTTCCGTTCTTTTATCATTTACCATTATCATTTGTCAATAATAATCTAATCGATATTATCCTAGTAACGGAAATAATTTCATAGTATGAAATTATTTAAAAAATGTTTTTTCGTTGCAAAAATTAACACTGGAAAAATTGTTTAGATCAAATGTTCACAGCTTAATGATTAATTACTGTACTGACATATAATTTCGTTTATAATTTACGTAACTAATTACAATTCTATCATTTAATTCTGCTTGTTTATTTAATTCCTTAACTTACAATTTTAAATAAAATTATAAATAACCAATTTTGTTTATACCAAAACAATTCCTTGTTTTATTATAAATTACGAAATCATGAAATTATTTATTCTTCTTGATCTTTGACTCCTCATAAGAAGATATAAATAACGCTCTTCGAGTATTATAATTCATTGTTTTGATTGTTCCAAAGTGTTTGGTACTATCATATATACACATGTTCAAATCTCTTCTGAGCTACTATCTCGACAAACCGGTCCCGAAATATATTCTCTCAGATCAACAAGTAAAGAAGAAGAAGAAATCAAATGATTGATTTTGATAATTTCTGGTAATGTTGACGATGAATAAAACTTTCCAACAAACTATTTCATTTGCGGTGAAACAAATCTTTCCCTCAAATAAAATAAGCATTTTGCAACATTTCCAAGAGTATATTCGTTTGTTAATTATCGAATGTAAAACTAAAATTTTTCTTCGAATTCTCTTTTTCTTTAAATTTGCAGCCATTTTTCATCTTTTAATTTCTCCTTTCTTAATTGATTAAAAGGCAGAATTGTCATCACATTTCATGGCATTCTTTTTTATGATGGCACTACTAGTTGAAATGAAAATGATCGTTAAGAGAGTCAAATTTCAAGTGGTCAAAATTAAATTGACCTTATTTCATTACAGTGAAATTTATAGCAGATAACTAATAAAAAAAATTATCTTTGATTATATATTCAGTTTCTTCAGTTCATCATTTCGAATTGATATTATAAACAACAATGATTAAGCATATGATTTAATTAATTTACGCGTAATTTTTTATTACCTTGTTTTCAGTTTCCATAATATTTATTGTCACGTAAAAAAGTTGCATATGATGAAATGCACGTTACGTCGGATCAAACATACGATCTTACGACCAAAATTGATGCGAAATCGTTGGGAAAAATGAAATCTGAAGTTATCTATGCGTCAATGAGTCTCAGCATCATTTACAGAGTTTAAACTATACTAGCAACAAATAATAGCAACAATTTTATATTTAATTTAGATAATTAATATCAAAATTATTCATATGTTTTCTTTTCATGCAAATATGAATAAATTTTAGACTAATCAATTTCAAATTTTAATTATTAATTATAAATTTCAATTATTTCACATAAAGTTAATGATTTGAATTCAAAAAAATAAGAAAGGAAAAAGGATGGATTTGATTATAAACTATAAGAATTTATTTAATGTGAGAGTAAATGTGAAAATATTAATTTATCAAAGAATAGCTTATGACAGTTTCATTAAGAAAATGATTCATAATGAGTAAAATTTGTAAATATCGTTCAACTTCGATAACAATGATAACAGTGATACCGCTGCAAGATATGTAATCACTTCTGTTGGCTAATTAACCATTAAATTGTTTGCAAACGATTTTTTGGAATGGCATATGAAATATATTGAAAATATAAATTGTAAAACATAAATTGCATCAACAAACTATAGTTCATAAATATAAAGCATACAAAATTAAACATTTCTTTTTTTGAATTTTTAAACAAAATATAAAATGTTGTGATGAAAATCTCTTAATTGACAAAATAATAAAATTTATTTGTTAATTAGTGACAGACAAAAGATAATACATTAAATGAAATGAAACGATTTAACAGTTAACAAATATGATATATATATATATATATATATGTATATGTATGTATATTTATTTATTTAGCATAAAAGGAGATTTAAATTTTACTTAATAAAATATGAAATTTCTAACCATTAATACAATGACTTAGTAATGTGAAGGATATCTTGGTTTCATTTAAATAGCATTCATTAATAGTTAAATATAAAATTCAATCGTTAACTTTCATTTTTATGAATAAATAAAGCATTTAATTATTTTGACATTTTTGACGTATATATTATCATTTCCTTTCAATATTTACATATATGGTAAAATAAATTTTTGACATTATTTTAACTATCCTAAAAGAAACGAAAACAAAAACAAAAACAAAACAAAAACAAATAAATTTAATTTTAAAAGTGAATTGGGACATGTGACAGATATTTAACAAAAAATAAATTTTATCTTTTTTCATCTTTTACATTTCAAACAATAAACGATCGATTAAATTACTAATGAAAGCACTAAATATTTTGTGGCCCTATTTCAAAATAGATTCCTAATAGATAATATAATTAATAAGAATAGATGTAATAAAGGAAAGGATTATATTAATTATCCGAATTATAATTTTTAATTTCATTTCCCTTTTCTTTACTTATTCTTTTCTACACATTAACAAATAAAAAATTAATTAAAAATAATCAATTCACCGGGATTGAATAAAATAACAATAATTTAGAGAAGCCTTTTTGTTAATGTAACAATCCTTTTGAAGCCTTGCCTAATTCGACTTGATTTCTTCTCATCCCTTTCATTACTATTATTATTATTACCATTCGAAAAGACACCTCGTGGTTCACGTGTTAATCTTATCATATTGGTAATTTTAGTTGTATATGAAGTGGTAGTATTAGATGATTTACTGCGTAATGCTGTTAATATGGCCGCGTCGAAAACTTCTTTAAGATTTTGCTGTGTTAGGGCGGAACACTCTAAATAATCGGTACATAAATCTTCGCTTAACATTCGCGCTTTTGATTCACTAACCGGTTGCTCACCATTTTTGCATAAATCAATCACCAAACTAACATTTGATCGTAAATCAGATTGTGTACCAACTAGGATTACTGAAATATATAACAAAATAATGTCATTTGTTTTATCTTCTTCATAAATGTTAAATTGATTAAATTTTAAATTCACTTTTTTTTTTACCTCCTATATTGCTCTTATAAATTTCCCAAATTATCTGTCTTAAAACAGATTATTTAGTTTAAATAATAATTCATGAATTGACCGCTTTCGCCGTACGATAAGTATTATTATTATTTAAACTAAATAATCTGTTTTAAATTATTATTATTTAAATTGTAATTTTTTAAAGTTTCTTTTTTAAATAATTTTAAACTTTCTACTTAAAAGGTTAGGTAAATTTCTTTGTTTAAATCGATAGATAAAATGCTTTGTAGCATATAATTCGATAATAATAGGTAATTATTTCCTTTTGTCTTTAGTTATTTAAATATTTCGCTGTATTTTTTTCTGTTTTATGTATTATTTTTCTGCATTATATTTCGTATAATTCTCAGAAGATTTATTTTTCAACTAATAAATATGAAATAACTAACCAGGTGCATTAGGTACTGTTTTATTAATTTCCGGTATCCAATGATTGGTAATTGAACGAAGAGTACTAGGTAGCATAACACTGAAGCATAATAGGAATACATCGGTATCTGGATAAGTAAATGGTCGTAGCGAATCAAATCCAGCCTGAACGTATTGCTAATTATTAAATAAGATTGATGAATGTTTTCTTCTTTATTAAATAATAGATTGATCACAATTTAAGTTTAATAAAAAACAGAAATAAGCTGGTAATAATAATTTATACATAAGCAGTGTTGATATTAATATGATATTGGTATTGATAAAGAGATGATGATAAGTTGGTGCATAAAGTTATAATATAAGAATAAAATTGAAGTGCTTAGTTGTGGTAATAATGAAAATACATCACAATAAACATTTTTTGAAGTATGTTATATATTCACATGATTTAAGTGTAGAAAATCGAAAAAGTTTGACATTTTTAATGATATCATAAGTTTACGCAATATTTCTACCAAACTCAAAAAAATTAAAATTATCACTTTAACTA